CTGGTGGAATTTCGCGAGAGGGTGAGTACGAGAAGTGTGCGAGGATTAAGGGGGGGAGGGAGGGAGAAGAGGGAAGGAGACGGAAAATGAGAGGAAAAGGGAGGTCGAGATCAATAGATAGACAAATAGATGAATATACTTGTCGATACCGCATATATACGTGTGTGTGTGTGTGTGTGTGTGTGTGTGTGTGTGTGTGTGTGTGTGTGTGTGTGTGTGTGTGTGTGTGTGTGTGTGTGTGTGTGTGTGTCTGTGTGTTAGAGAGAGAGAGAGAGAGAGAGAGAGAGAGAGAGAGAGAGAGAGAGAGAGAGAGAGAGAGAGAGAGAGAGAGAGAGAGAGAGAGAGAGAGAGAGAGAAGCTTAAGGGGAAAATACAGATAAAGATAAAGCAAACACAAAAAAAAGTCATAACATAAAAAATAGACATATAGAGATAGACAGATAGATAGATAGATAGATACAAACTACTAAACACTATTACCAATCACATTTAAATTATCAAATCCTTCAAGTCCATAATTCTTCAATCTATATTTTAATTCCATTTTTATCTCTTATTTCACCTATATTTTCACCCCTATATATATTTTCAGCTTTCTGAGCAAACGAATCTGAGAGAGAAGTATAGACAGGGAAAAAGAATTTTGAAAACAGGAAAAATTGGCGATACAGAGAGACAAGCGAGTAAAAGGGAGGTGGGAAGAGGAAGGTAATAAAGTAGAGAAATAGTGAGAGAGACGAAAGGGCGAGGGAAGGGGAGAGGGAAGGGGAGAGGGAAGGGGAGAGGGAAGGGGAGAGGGAAGGGGAGAGGGAAGGGGAGAGGGAAGGGGAGAGGGAAGGGGAGAGAAGAGAAACTGGGTTTCTTTTTCTTTGTATATTAATCCATTTTTGAGAGGGAGGGGAAGATAAATCGACTCGCACACAGACACATACACACACGCACATACATGCACACACACACACACACACACACACACACACACACACACACACTCACTCTCTCTCTCTCTCTCACACACACACACACACACACACACACACACACACACACACACACACACACACACACACACACACACACACACACACACACACAAACTCCCACACACACACATAACATGCATACAACATCACCGACACCCGAACGACCAGCATTTTCCCTTGCACTTTCCATCAGCGACAAAACACTCCATACCACGCCATGGGCTCCCGATGAATGCATATTATAATGAGAACAGACGAGTATGAAGATAATTACCATTGAAGTGTCTTTCATGTTAATTATTAATGCAATACTTATGGTAATTGTGACGAGAGCATCATGGAAAGTAGGGTAATGTGATGACGTTGGCTGTTGCAGATGATATTTATAACAATTTGCAATTGATAACGATAGTTTTAGTGGTACTAGCAGCAGGAACAGCAGTTTTTAATTAATGTAATAGCACAGGTAGTATTTATTTTAGCTATTGTTGACTTAATAGCAATTCCTGACTGTTATTATTGGTAGAAATAGGAAAAAAGTAACGTGATCCTCATTATTAGCTGAGGTAAAATAGCTGTAGATTTAGTAGTCCTACAGCACTGCTAGTAGTAGTAGATATAGTAGTAACAGTTGTTGATATCGTTGCTGCTGAGCACCATTTGCAGTTGTAGTTATAGCAACATGCAAGCAACAGCAGCAACAGTAGTTGTATATAGTAATTATTGACAAATTTAACTATAAACTATTTGACTATAAATTACTGACAAATTTAATTATTCACTTTTTACTATTCTTTAGCTATCATCAATAAAGTCAGAATCAAACATTATCATAATTATTAATGCTTGGAGTAACAGTAATAACAGGCGTAATTAATTAAGGTGGAGTAGAGGGAACGTAAAAATAATATTGGTAAATTAATTATACAAATACTAATGATAATGATAAATACGATAATGATTTAATGAAAGTAATGGAGAATTAGTACCATCATAATTATATTATAATTTCATCGTTATCATTATTATTATCATTGCTACAATAATAATGAAAAAATATTAACAATAATAATAATTATTACTATAATTATCATTACTGCTACTGCTATTACTATTATTATATTTATCGTAATTATAATAATAAATATTATCATTATAATTATTATCAAATCTATAATCATTATCATTATCATTATTACCATTATTATAACAATAATAACAATAACAACAACAAAAATAATACTAATAATATAAAATAACAGTAATAACAATAATACTCTTTTTAATAATAACAATAATAATCTTAATAGGAAGAATAACAAGAGCAACAATGATAATGACAATAATAACAATAATTATATTGCCATCAATAATAATAATAATAACAATAACAGTGCTAACAATAACAGCAATAATGATATTAATAATGATAATAAAAGTAATAATAATAATAATAGTAATAATGATAATAATAATAATAATAATAATAATAATAATAATAATAATAATAATAATAATGATATTAATAAAGATAACAATAACAATAACAATAATAACAATAACAATAACAATAACAATAATAACAATAATAAAATCAAAACAAACAACAATACCAACGACAACAATAGCAACACCAACAAAAAACAGTAGCAACACTAATCCTGATACTATTAACAGCAACAGCTCTTTGTCGCTGAGTGATGGAGTGATGAAAAGATATGACATCATGTGATGTTTCCATGGCAACGACCTACCACCTCATTCGTACCGCGGTGTCGCACTCATCCTTGCAGTTGCAGAATACATTAGCAATTGCTTTACTTCCTTTCCCTCTTTATGTTATCGCTTGTTTCTGTTTATATTTATTTTTTTATCTATTTTTTTTTTTGTGTGTGTGTGTGAGTGAGTGTGTCTGTTGGCTAGCTTTCTCTTGCGAGGTAATGGAGAAATCTAATAATAATAATAATAATAATAATAATAATAATAATAATAATAATAATAATAATAATAATAATAATAATAACAATAATAATAAAAATAGCGAAATAAATAATAATAGTGATATAAATAGTGAAATCAAATCATGATACTGAAATAAATAGTGAAAGAAGTAAACATGGTGAGGAAAAAAATCGTAAAATGTGTAGTAATAGTGAAAAAATGGTGAAGTAAATCATCATAATAGTAAAATGAATAATAACAGTGAAATAATAGTGAAATAGCGAAACCAAATAATCAGTAAAATAAATAATAACAGTGAAATAAATAATAACAGTGAAGTAATTAATAACAGTGAAATAAATAATAATAGTGAAACCAACAATAATAGTAAAATAAACAATAATAATGAAATAAACAATAATAGTGAAACGAACAATAATAGTACAATAAACAATAATAATGAAATAAAAAATAATAGTACAATAAACAATAATAATGAAATAAACAATAATAATGAAATAAACAATAATAGCGAAATATATAAAAATAATGAAATAAATAATGAAATGAACAACAACATCTCAATAACAGTGAAACAAAAAACAAAAATAAATGGTAACATAGTCTGCAATATGGATAAATCCTTAATAAACACCGGGATTCCATTTGTTTTACAAGACAGCGCACGTGCAACATAGCAGCAGTCAGACGAACGAACAGGTGTGAACATGAAAAGTTCAAACAAGTGTTTTTTATTCCACATTTTTCTTCATTTTCTTATTTTCTCTCTCTCCCTTTTTTCTTTTCTTTTTTATTCGTGTTTTTTCTCTCTCTTTTGTTTTGAGTAACTTGGCATATAGCGATAACATGACATGACAAAGGGTATCACTGTGTAACGTGACGTGACTGTTTCATGACAGGTGTTGAGGGGTGTGTCATGTCAATCGCCTCTTTTTCGTTTCTTTATTCCTGTTTTCCCTTGTCGACATGTTTATCTTTTATCTTTTTTCGTCCTTTGCCCAGTTGTCCTGATGATAGTGAAAATAAAGATGATGATGATGATGATGATGATGATGATGATGGTGATGATGATGATGTAGGTGATGATTATGGTGATAATGATGATGATAATTATAATAATAAAAATAACATTAAAAACAATAACAATGATATTAACATATCCACTGACATATATACATATGTACATACATATACATACATACATACAAACACACACACACACACACACACACACACACACACACACACACACACACACACACACACACACACACACACATACACACATGTATATATATATATATATATATATATATATATATATATATATATATATATATATATATATATATATATATATATATGTGTGTGTGTGTGTGTGTGTGTGTGTGTGTGTGTGTGTGTGTGTGTGTGTGTGTGTGTGTGTGTGTGTGTGTGTGTGTGTGTGTGTGTGTGTGAATATATCTATGTGTGTGCGCGTTTTAAAAAAGAAAAAACGGAAAACAATCTACAAACAGTAAAATGACAAACAGTATTCCAGTCTTCAACAGCCGTCTCGAATTAGCCTTAACTGGGCGGGATCACAACGCTGCTCTCTTGCTCGAAAGGATGTGACACTCACATACAGAGGTAAACAAATAGATAGACAGCTTGCTAGACAGACAGAAAGAGACTAGATAGATAGACAGAGACAGTCAAACACAGACTGCTCGCTCGATAGACAGACAGAGACAATCAAAAACAGACATCTAGCTCGACAGACAGACAGAGACAATCAAAACACAGACAGCTAGCTCGACAGATAGACAGAGACAGTAAAAAATAGACATCTAGCTCGACAGACAGACAGAGACAATCAAAAATAGACATCTAGCTCGACAGACAGATAGAATCAATCAAAACACAGACAGCTAGCTCGACAGACAGACAGAGACAATCAAAACACAGACAGCAGGCTCGATAGATAGACAGAGACAATCAAAAACAGACATCTAGCTCGACAGACAGACAGAGACAATCAAAAACAAACATCTAGCTCGACAGACAGACAGAGCC